TTTCCGTTCTTTCAATCGCTTTACGTATACGTCGACTTTCCATGTCCATTATTGTGAAACCCGCGAGACACAACAAAAACAGCACCGATCACAGCGTCCTCCATCCTCCTGTTGTTAATGTTCTTCTTCTTTGTTTCTGTTGTTGAACGCGGCGCACAAATGACGTCGCTGTCGACCGGCTTACATCACTTCTTAGTACACACTGTCGGTGCGAATGCAACCCTTTAAATGGTACTGGGAAATAGTTCGCGCAAAATCGTCCCAGTACTTTAGTACTGTACATTTAGTTCTGGAACTAAAGCGGTGTGAAAGGCCCTATTGTAATTGTTATTAGTTTACTATTTTATTATTATTCTTCCCAAATGAGAGTCTATGGCAGCCCTATGAACGGAACATAGGAAAATGATGAAATTGGCACACTTGTAATGATAGTCATGAATAGTGATCGGACCAATTTTGGGGTCTCTAGGACCAACTCTATAGAACTTGGTATGATTCATCAAGACCATGATCTGAGGGTCCATGCCAAAGTTGGGAACAGCGCCACCTATGGGTCATGAGATACCAAAAATGCACATTTTTGCTTATAACTTTTGAACAGTTAGTCAGACAATCATGATCTTGGTGTCTATGGATTCCTTGGCTCATGCCGAATCTGCCGATGTTGGATTGTCGGCACAAAACTCGGTAGGGATTATCAACACCATGTACCGGAGGTACCTGAGAAGTTTGAACACAGCGCCACCTAGCGTTCCAGAGATATAACGATTTTTGCAAAAACGCTTATAACTTTTGAAAACATTGTCCAAATTTCATTATCATTTCATTCCCTGGGTTATGCCGATTCTGATGATATGTCATTTGTAATTTGTCAATAATTAATTGTGCCAATTTGCCATATTGAAGTAAATGAAAAACTTTTTTTTTTCCTACTCCTACAAATTTTGTCCAATTTTGTCCAAAATCTGATCAGATGATCTTTGGACCGAGCTGCACAGAAATGATTGAACAGATTTTTAATATTTGCTTCCGTTCCTGAGAAATACTTCTCTAAAGTTGAGCGTGCCTGTGTTTGTTGGCTTATACTATTAAGCTTAGCATGCTAATAAGTTACAGGCTAACCAGTTACCATACTGTTTAATGTGACTCTTCGGCTATCAAGTTAACCATAAGCTGCATTACCATTAACTTATCTTTGCATGTTACACTGATTAAAATGCTAAAGAACTTTTTTTGGGAGCTCATTCTCACACCTAAACCTAGCTTTGAAGATTTTCTACAAATTCAATGTGTAGCAAGTGTTTAACCATGGGAACTTTGCAATGTTTAAAAGTATCCAAATGAAATCCAACGCCCAAATATGCCAAAATGGGCTTGGCCCCGATAATTGCTGCATGCAGCTATATTTCATATTGTTGTTGTTATTTATGCAAATAAATGTACATTTTAATTAAAGTATTAAAGTGGAAATGGTTAGTTGTCTTGGAAAGGGTTTGTGTGTTGCCATTCTCATTCAATATTAACACAATTTGTGCTTGTTAGTTTTTGAGTCCTGGACATGACATGCGGGGGAAAAATAAAGATATTGTGGCCACGTTGTACTAATTAATTCCTTAATTTAAATTTAACAAGAGTTTGAATTAATGAAATGTGGCCACAAATGAACAGGTTGTAGGAACAAATTATTAATATAATTTTTTTTATCTTTGCATTTTAATCATGATCCCAACCAAGATGGTACATGTAGCACTAGCAGTTTTTTATATAAATTTGATGGTAAAATTTTACAATTTAAAGTAAAACAGAATGGTCTGACTTTAGCTTTTTGAAATTATGCTACATAAAACAGCTGTACGAAACAAAAAAAGCAGACGGGCTAAATGAAAATTTAAATTCACACTTTGACAGCAGATGGTGCTTATGGAACAGCAGTGATACAGCGTTTTTCTGACAGTCCGTTCCCCTGAGAGATACATTCATATAAACCCCCGTCCCCAATTAAATATTAAAAATTTTCATCCAACATTTTGCGCATCGTGAATTGGTCTGCTACAGTATTTTCTCCTCTTTGCGCTGAGACCTCTGCCAAGTATAAGGTGTAATCCTCATTATTCTTTTGTCTTTATACAGCCATTATTCTGGCATCACATGATTTACTCATCCACAGCGCTATGATCCCAGTACACATTTACCCACCTAGTGTAAGTTTGTTATCGGAAGAGATGGGTTATGAATGCATAAAATGAGTGACATATGAGCAGCGAATGAGCTTCCTCTGAGTCAGAACACTGATTGCGGCACAGAAAACACAGACAGACAGCACTGGAAGCCGCTAATGCTAATCGGATCACATAATTCAGAGGAAAATGAATAGAAATTATGATTCTGTCTAAAGAAATGTGAAGTAAACGCGTAAATATATCAATACTTCTCCAAGTGTGCACACTTTTGGATTATATGACCTAATGTGCATTGTTTAGTACAGCTATGTGAACACAAATAACCCACAGCAGAGGTGACTATGAATGCGTGTTATTCTATTCAAAATATCATAAATTACTGATTGATTATTTTGAACTCCTGACATTAAGAAATTACTGTAATTGCAATTTAATTTTATCATAGACAATGATAACAAATAACAGTATCGAAGCTGGAATTTAAAATCTATTTAATGATACTTAATGATGAAGGCACTACCGGTATGCATTTTTTATTTGTTTATTTATTTAATTCATAGCGTGTGCGTAATTCTAACCGGTTTACCTCCTTGGCTCAAACAGCAATGGTATGAGAATGATGCGTCTCTTTTATAAGTATTGTTTATAAGTATTCAATTGTGTATTCAATAATAGCTTATTTTTTATCTCATACATGATTTACTTACAGATTAATTTAATCCTCTAAATCTTTGTAAAATACACAACACAACCACTAGTTTACATGATCCTTTATTTTCGATGAGTACAGTTCTTAATACAGCATATTTTATACCTTTTTTAACATGGATACAATATTGCCTAGATTTAAACCCATTTAACAAACAAGTTAGAAATAAAAATTAAACATTTAAAAGTAATTCAAGTGCAATCAACCGGTCTCTGTTATGCTGTTTCCACCGTAACGGTGATGAATCTCATGCTGGAGCTGGGCTCGCATTCGGCGGGAACTGTAAGTCTCAGACCGCTGCTCTGCATTTCACTCATAGCCTGAAAGATGCTGCGACTGCCAGCTATTCCCCACATTTCTTCTAACATAGACCCCTTCCCTCCTCACCAGTCTGAGTAGAGTTTAACTTGGTGGTTACAAAATATCTAATAAGATTCCTCCAGCAAAATTCTCCCCAGATGCCCAAACTAGTAAAAGTTCAGTACAGATATTCAGCCAGTCTTCCTCTGAAATAACTTGACCAGATTCTTTCTCCGATTTTAATCTATCCTTATTCGTTGAATGTTTCTTAGTAGTTTAAATAGCTAAATATAATTTTGATACAAGTTTCCTATTGTCCTTGTTTTTATAGATATCATTAAATATATATATTATGTTGGTGTTATATAGTTCTTTGTATATATTATCTCATTAATTCAATTCAATTCAAGTTTATTTGTATAGTGCTTTTCACGATGCAAATCATTGCAAAACAGCTTTACAGAAAATTAAAGTTTCTACATTATATTTAGTAATAGCTTATCAGTGGTGACTATCTCAAGTTGATGTCCATATTATTGTCCTCATTATTGAAAGAAGTCCTGGTTTGTACGTTTTTTTTTTTTTTCAGATCGTATAGATCAGAAATGACCTGAATTCCCTTATCTAATTGTCCCTTTGATGAAATTGAACTAAAAGAAGTGATGGCAAGCCTATACAGAGCTGAAACCTCACATCAATCCTTGCTGGTTTAAAGTCGGGGTCAAAAGGCACCAAGCTGATTTACATAGTGATTTACATTATTTAAGACAGATTCTAAGAGGAACCTAAGTCCATTGATTCAAACTACTAGAATGCTGTTCATATAAAGTTTTGCTACACAGTACTGATTGTAGTGGTATAACAAACTGCAAAGTCTATCCACTTTGCTATATACTCTGGGTTATAGCAGCATGCTAAAGATCTTAACTGATTTGCCTTGTAATAGTCTATCAAGCATGGTAGTGATTTCCCCCCCCTTTCACTTTAGACAATTGCAGTGTGTTAAACTGAATTCTTGGCCTTCTACCCCCCTATATGAATCTTGAAATCCACTTATCCCATTCAGTAGATTGTTTCAGCGGAACTTCAACTGGTAAGGATTGGAAGAGGTATAAGAGTCAGGAAAGCATGTTCATTTTTATTGTCTCTATCCTATTATGCATCTCCAAGGGCAGTTGGGACCACTTGTCTATACCTGATTTAATGTTCTTACTTATAGGAATGTCCTTATTTATTTATTTTTACCTTTATTTATATAGCACTTTAAACAATAAAGATTGTGTCAAAGCAGCTTTACAGTATTAAACAGAAAAACAGTGTACTGATAATGCAAAAGGACAATAGTAAGTTAGTTCTCCTCTGGCCAGACGAAACAAGCATGGTGTGGTTTAATTCTAGACTGCAACACAAGTCAGATTGAGCAGAGGACTCATCTGGTTCTTGTGGTCTTGTGCCGATGGCCATAGAGGTGACAAGGTCTTCGCTGGGGATCTATCTCTGGGGCTCATCTAGTTGACATGGTCTCTGCTGACATTCAGGGTTGTAGAGGTTGTCTCTATGTGCTGATCCACCATCTGGAATGGATACGGACTGGATCCGGGTCACTTCAGTGACCATCTGATCTAGATATTGACTGGATCTGGGTGGCTACGGTGACCTCGGAATAAGAATGAAAGACTAATATTAGCATAGATGCCATTCTTCTTACAATGTTGCGAGTACATTGGGTGTTATGGGAAGTGTTTCCGGTTCCGGTTGACCTAATTAATGCTGCCTAACAGTCCTTTAACGGATTTGAATTATAGAAATGTGAATAGTGTGTTATGTGTATGCCAGGTTAAGGAGATGGGTCTTTAATCTAGATTTAAACTGAGAGTTTGTCTGCCTCCCGAACAACATTAGGTGAATTGAAGTTCATAGACCGGATTTGTGACATATCTGTTGTGACGTGACGTAACTCTGGATGATCCGCTGTGACGTGACGTGACTCTGGATGATCCGATGTGATGTGACGTGACTCTAGATGATTAGCTGTGACGTGACTTGACTCATGAAGATCAGCTCCCTGCTTTAAGGCTAATAATAGTTTGGCAGTGTCCATACCTGGCCAATGTCCACGGGAAAAGCTGCTGGATCCTTGTGGGGCCGAGTATTCTGTTACGGGGCAAACAAGACACGAGACGTACGGATCCATTTGCAAGCTTTATTAAGGGCGTGGTCAGAACAGGCGAGGGTCAGGCAATGGCAAACAGACTGTGACTTGACTTGGTTCATGAAGATCAGGTGTGACTTGACTTGGCTCATGACGATCAACTGTGATTTGACTTGATTCATGAAGATCAGCTGTGACTTGACTGGACTCAGGAAGAGCAGCTGTGACATACTGGGGTGCTGTTGCGTCCGCCATTTTGCGATTAAACTCCGCTCGGGAAAAGCTGCTGGATCCTTGTGGGGCCGAGTATTCTGTTACGGGGCAAACAAGACACGAGACGTACGGATCCATTTGCAAGCTTTATTAAGGGCGTGGTCAGAACAGGCGAGGGTCAGGCAATGGCAAACAGGTATATAGAAGACAAAACAAGAGCAGTCCAGTAAACAAGCGAGGGTCAGTCGACGGCGAACGTAATCCAACAGGGGCGAGACTAGAGGGATAATCCAGGTACAAAGCAAAGGTCCAGGCAGGGGCAAACAGTATCCGAACAGGGCAAGACGAGAGAGGTAATCCAAAGTACACAGGCAATGATCAGAAGACGAGGAAACAGACAAGGCAAGACTAGGCTGGACTAGACTAAGAAACTTAATGCAGGCTCTGTAACGTAGCTATCACAACCAGCGATATGCGCATACACGTCACATTGCATAAAGAAGAAATCTATCAACTGTCTTGTTCATCAGCCATGACGCCCTCGGTTATTTTGTCTTCTCCGTTTTCCCAGACTGGTTTCCCTTGCAGTTTCTGTACTTTTCCCCTTCCAACGTTAATTGGATCAAAATTTAAATCTTACTTGCATTCAAATGAATAAACTCTGACCGAACAGGAGTGAGCAGTTATGCAGCCATGCGCTTTAGCTTAACCACTAGGAGTCCTTCTTCCCAAATTTTTAATGAGAATCATTTATAAATCTGGCAATAAAAGAGAAGCTTTAAGGTCTCCTGCCAAAATATAAGCTCTATGGTTTAATATTTGAAAGCAATGAAAGCCATACATTTTAGTGTTGTAATTTTACTCTTTTTTTTTTTTTCTTTTTTTTTTGTAATATTGTTCTGTAAAATAAAATTATTATTATTGTTAAATACATGTTTTTTTATTTTATTTTAAAGTACAATAGTATTATTGCAATAGTAATACATTTCTTTGATTTAATTTTTATAATTGAAATAATAATAAATATTTTAATACTAATAAGTAGAATATTATTATTATTATTATTATTATTGTATAGTTGTATTGAATGAGGAAGATATTGAATAGGGTTTTCCTACTTTTTTCTTAGTTGGTCATGTGCCTGATTTATTCACAATTATCTCTCTTGTTCTGTTTAGAAACACTGTGCATGTGTGGTTGCTAAAACTAGACCGCTCCCAGATATGGTGGATCAATACAAGGCAGATTATGGTTATCTGGGCACCATGCTTTGTTCACATGTGGTGAAGGCCCGTGCACAGGCTGCCTTCCAGGCCCAAACTGTTAACAGAACCACACTCACTATCACACAGGTGAGCAAATCTAAAATAATACTTTTGTCATATAATAATATACTTTTGTCAATAAGCTGATCTGAATCATAACCAGTAGTTCTATTCTAAAAAAAAAAAAAATACTTCGTTAATATTGTTCAAATCAAACCTAAATTCTCCATTTGTCTCTCTCTGCAGCCACGCCCAACTCTGTCAATGTCTCAGAGTGGATTGTCCGCATCAAGTGGGTCACGCACACCAAGCATTATTAAAGTACCCAGTTCACTCACCCTTATGTCCACTCGCCCTGGAACACCCACCCAGCCATCACCCCCAGCAACCAAATATATTGTTATGGCAACAAGTGCAGGAGCTGCATCCACACAGCAGGTAAGAGTTTTAAATGAGTTCGTGTCATAGTACTTGAGCAGGGCTTAAAAAGCAAAAAATAAATAAAATAATTAATCGGTTCACTTCGAGCAGAATCAGTATTTTATAACTTCTGTTCTTTTGTTGCTTATTAAACTTTATGGTTTGATTAGAAAAGATACAGATTAATAACATTAATTTAATTTTCTATACTTGATAAAAATGTATATACAGACTTATACACATTTTCACTCAAAAATGACATAGCATGGAAATTAAGCTTTAACATTTAATGCATAACATCGTAAAAACACAACAGAATTTTACTTGCATTAGGCTTGCTGCGGTAGTCGGTGTTAGACATGCACTAATTAAATTACTTGCCCACCGCCCCCACTGTCATTTGCTTTTTTATAGAAATAAAAACTATTTAGTTCAGTTGGACAATGGATGCTACAATTACATTCTGAAAGTGCTCCATACAGCACGAGCTGCAGAGTCGCAGCACAGTGCTGCAAATTTCACTTATCCTGCGATGAAAGCAAGGAGAAAAAATCACTGACAAAACCATGGCGGAGGATTTGGTCGTAACAGATCATGAGCATAACTGGCAAATATCTTAACTTGTAAAATGTGTGGTACTATGCACATCCCATATACCCAGAGTGTGCTCCATATACACAGAGTACACATGATTGCACATTCAAAAGCGATTTCAATACCCCGCATATTAATCTCACCTAACATTAAAGTTTTTAAATATAGTTTCATATTGCAATAATTTCACATTCAATCTTCAAATTAATGTAGAAACAACATACAGTATATTTTTAATATTTGTTTAATGGCATCCACCAATCCACCAATACTACTGATGTCTCTATGAAATTTTTCCCCCTAATATTTAACCACTGAATAAAAGCATTCTCAACATTACAGTATAATTGAGAGCTATAAATTTTAACATTTATTAAACTTTAAAAAATAACAACTTCTAATTTAAGTGAACTTAAAACAATCCTTACATAAATCCATTATAATAAATGTGATATTTACCTGTGCTCCTCAGCAAGTAGGAAATATACAGAAATTGAATAAAGTTATCAAAAACTAAATTCTAAATTAATTATAGATGAATCCTTAAAGCTACAAAAGTTATTGATTTTCTCATTTTTCTTGTGTGACTATCAGACATCACAGCAGCTGTGACTCATACATAACAAATACTTACATGCATGCACAGTTTTAAGGCAGCTTTAATCTCCTTTTTGGTAACTTCATGACTTAACTGATGAAATAACTCCGACATTGCATGTTCATAGTTTCTTTTGCCCTTTCATATGAAATGATAAACAGTGCGAGTCGCCGCATTTTTGAGTGCAATTGAAGAACACGTGCGACGAACACAGTATAACGGCTGACAGGACAGGAAAATTAGATTTTATTGACATATGGCCTGACAACATCTCATCTGACTGTTCACTGTTGTACTACTGAAGCTCCCTCGTCACCTGTACCATTTCCGTGCTTGTTTGACTAGTGACGGGCGCTGAAGCGAAGTTGCAGCAAAGGAGTGCACGTCTGAAAAGTCTCCCATTTGATGTGGTCGTAAAGACATTCTGCGTCTAAATAAACAAAATTCTTGTCAAGAAAAAAAAAGAGACAGAAGCAGCAGTTGTGAGTGGGATGGCTAACCCTAGCTCCGCGCCTGTGTTAATTTCGTTAAACATTTTTAATGTGTTAAACTGAAAAAATTAATCGCCTGCGTTAATGCACCAATTTTGACAGCACCTATGCTAAACATTTTTTTAACTTAAGGCTAAACGTACGTCTGTAAATTTAATGGGTGCTGTTTGTGGTTAAGATATAAAGCTTGTCTTGGCGGAGACTGGTAGAAATTACTTGCCTATGATGTCAGAGATGGTCTTATTTTTGGTCTTATCAACTGAGCGCAAACAAATTTAACTGCAAAATTAAATTATAAAACTAACAAAATAAAATTATAAAAAAAAAAAAGATAAAATAACTTTAACCGGTTAATGAACATTTCAAATAAGCGTTTCTGTTTAGAACTATTAAACTTGATTTCATTATTTTATGTTCCTGTTAAAATTTTGTTTTTCCAGTTTTTGTTTTCATTCCTTGAATCGGTCCAAAGACCTGTTTGAGCAAATCTTACAATGAAATGGTCAGGATTTTTTTTGCCTCAAAAATCTAAAGAAAACAATGTAATTGAACTTTACCTAAAGAATTAGAGAAAAAAAATAGAAATTAAATTTTTAACCATATATTTTAAACTGGTTTAATTTTTTTAAGCAACCCACCTAGCAACAACCCAGAACACCTTAGAAATGGCAAAGCTATGCCCTGAAAAACCACTCAAAATAACAGCATTGTGGCAGTGACTTTTGATCTATATATATATATCTGTTGTAATTGTAGACATACAATCTTTCTTAGGTAATCACTCTCAGCTCCTCCCAGTCTGGATCTTCTGTCACAAGTACAGTCCCTAGCACCCCCACATCTTTACAACCACTCGTCAAACTGGAGTCTGGAACCACAGGTGCTGTGAGTGGCTCGCGCCCTCTTCAGAAATACATTGTGGTGTCTTTGCCTTCATCCTCTTCCTCACTGGAGAACAAGGGCTCAGGTGTCTTCCCATCCTCTACCTCACCTATCAGTATGGAGTCGGCTGTCAAGTTGGAACGTTCAGAATCACCGGCTGCAAACACACAGTCGCCACATTGAAACACACACTCGCTTGCTCCACCAAGATACAGAAGAACAATAAATGTAGCTTGAGACTCGTAATAGTGCTTGCACAGCACTTTCAGACAAACTGACATGCATGCTTAGAATTAGGAAAGCGAGCAAATAGCTATGCACATTTGGACCATAAGACTCACTCACATACATCGACATCGTGTACACACACACATATATATATATATCGAAACATGAACAATCAATCATGTATACACACAGATACATGTCTGAATACTGTGTTTGTGTATATATGTGTGTGTGTGTGTGTGTGTAAGTGTGCATATATATATATATATATATATATATATACATGCATACACACAGAAACGCATACATAGTTGCCATTGTGGCTGCAAGCACAGAGGAGATGTAACAGTGACAGCCATACACACATCACAGAAAAATACAGGATGGAAATTGATTGTGATTTGAGATTTACCAAAAGTGGTGTGTGTGAAGATAGCACAAGTCAGTGTTTGAGCTCACAGCTCTAGCCATGCTTCATTAATGAACATAAGGATATGGTTGTATTTATAAGGGGAGAAGGAATGATAGATGTGGATTGTGTGGGTAGAAAACAAAAAAGGGACAGTGGGTCCATCACTGTCTAATTTACATTTGTATAATTAAGTACATATGTGTGCTTTATGATCGAAAACTGAGTATTGATCGGGTTTAATGAACAATTTAACTGATTTGCTATTTCATGCTAATTTTTTTTCTTCTATAATAAAGATGTTTTTTTTTTTGTTTTAAATGTGGTTGTCATTTGTCATTTCCCTATGAGCTGTAGAAACCAGTTTTCAGATGTCACGTGCTGAGCTGTATAAAACCACAGTTTTCAGATATCGCACGTTTTGGCTATGTCAAGTTATTATTATTATTATTTATTTATTTATTTTCTCGAAAACAAAACATGGTATTTAAGTACAATAATAGCCTGAACACATTTAGCAACGAGTAAAAATTGATTCCTTACTCTAATGCAGTTTAAAAATAATGGGGTGATTGGGGAAGCATGAACATTTCACAAATCGTCTTTTCAGAGTTGTAAATGTGAAGTAGATACAAAAAAAATAATAATTAAAATAAGAAGAGAGAAACAGAAACAAATGTACTGCTTCTTCACTGAAATACACGTTTTTACGCTAGGTGTTCTAGTGAAACAGCTATAGTGAATGGTAATGTTATATATATATATATATGTGTGTGTGTGTATATATATATATATATATATATATATTATAAGCTATATTGATATAATTAAAATATTCGATCATATAAATGCTTATGAACAAACCTGTAGCACGCATTTACTATTTATTTTTTATGTTTAACATGTAAACTACATATATTGTGTTAAAAGTCAGTTTCTCAACGTGATCCTGACCATATGTTTCTAGGTTTTAACGTGATCTATGCTTGTCAAATAAACGCAAACTGAACGATCCCACCCCCGAGGAGTGCTGCCTGTACCACAAGGCCACAGTTTCCGTGTCCAGTCTCTCTGAATTATAATAGCAACCCGTCCCCGAGTTTCGGGCATTTTATTAGATTTGGTAAGTAGATTAAGTATTTCTCTCAACTTCGCCGAATGTTGCTATTCTGTCAGCTGTTTTCAGCCATATTAAACTGTTCGTACCCTGCCTCGGGTGAGAGAAAGTACAGAAGTTGTGAATTTGAACTGACTACAGTGTAAAATTTTATTCCTGCGCGAGATTAAGGTGCCGTTTCCGCGTTCACACGTTATTTTTTTACAATTTTATTAGAACAGAATCACGCGCTGTTTGCACATTAAGCTAAAGAAAAGACTCGCGATCTACCATGAACTACCAGCCCGGACACAGTGGTTCTGTTGCATGCTTCGTTCGTTTGCTTGGTTTGCTTATTTCTTCAATTGTTGGTCTGGGCAAAAAGGCTTTGAGGGTTTTAAAGCTCTTTTGCTGCTCCTAAAAAGAACTTTGTGGTTTTTAACTTTGCCTATGGTTGTTGTTTTGTGCTACAGAGTCCTGAAGATCTTATTGCACAATTTTGACTCGTGGTTGTTAATTAAATATCGTTGTCTTTGTTCGTTATATCAAAGTCTGAAAGAATGTATTTTATTTTTTAATATCAGAAGCATTTCACTTTCTATACTCTTTTACTGTTTTATTTTTACTCTTTAGTTCATGAGCTTGTCCGGGTGCTTTCTGTTTTGTTTGACAAACATCATGTTTTGCATACGGGCGTGTCTGTGAGTGTGTGTGTGTGTGTGTGTGGGGGTGATTCTGCCAGTTTTTTTTTTTTTTTTCGAGGTCAAGTGGAGATTATTTTTTTGATGTAGGTGCCATTATATAGTAACTGTAAGTATAATGCCGTGCTACATGAATATGAATACTATCCGATAGATCACTGCAACAAAATTATTTTGGCACTGGTGAATCTGTATTGAGAAACACAATTTAAAGTATTCATGAAATAAAACGAGTTATTTACTTTACCTGCTTACATCACTATTCTTGTGATTAACAATGAATCTGTGCAACTTAATCCACATTTAATTCAAATAAATAAATAAATTGTATGTCTCTGTTAAAAATTTGAAAACTTCCTCCAAGCTTCCTGGAATGTAGTGCCTTAGTGCCCGCCTAAAGTGGTTCCGGAAGTATTTTTTTCTATTTATTTTCCCCATAGGAAACGTTATAAGCCATGAACCAAGCCAACCAGCTACGAGGTGAATTACATTACAAACTTTTAATTGAAGCAAAAACAGAATTGGAAAATCAGACAAGAAGACAAAGGTACAAGACTGTGCTTTAGTGAGAGAAAGGACTGCAAATGACTGTGCGCTAGGGATGGGCGTATCGATCCGAAGTATCGATATATCGATACTGACGCGAGTATCGATACTCAAACAAAAAATATCGATACTAAGGTGCGCTTTATTTACCAGTGGTTTTGTTTATTTTACAAAAATAATAATAATAATGCGTACAATATGCATTGAATTGGACGAATAACCTTTGTTAGCGAGTAATTGTGTAGGATATAACTATTTTCCTGCTCATCTGAACACACGCAAATGTTGCAAGACAGAACCAATCAATCACAGAGAGCATTCACTCACTGCTGACAGTGCATTCAAACAGGGCTGCATTTCCCAAAAGTATCATAAGAAAGCATTAAAGCTTTTGGGAATGGCAGCCCTGAACCATGCTTATCAGAGAACAGAAATAAAAACATAAATGTTTGAGTTATTTCACAATAAACAAATTGAAATTGTAGCCTACATAGTTTGTGCAATTACAATTATTTAAATTGAACGTTGAAAGATAATATTGATCATGTTCTATTCTGTAATGTTAATAGAAATCATACACTGTCAGAATAAAAAGGTTGCATTTTATGCATGCAACAGCC